GCAGCTGTTCCCAGGCTGCTCACCAGGGCTGCGAGGCAGCATGATCAGAGGGCAAACTGCAGTGGGCGGAGCAAGGGTTTCACAGACAAAAATCAGAATCAGCCAAATGGGATGCTTTACTGGTCTTTGTTTATCCACCTTTATGATACTTATCATTAGCTGTCAATTTCATTTACCAGGGCAGAGATGGAGAAAAATGATTGCTCTCTTTAACAAATGCTAGGAAAGCAATACTAGACCCCCCACAACATTCTGGCTTTACCTTATCCCAGCTCTCAGCTACACAACAGCTGTGCATTTTACAAGGAGAGACGATGACTGAATGAGCCAGTCTGTGACTCAGGGAGAGGCAGCATCAAGATACAGCAAGAGGTAAGGAGAGTGAAGCAAGGTCAGAAAAAACAAGTCAGTGCTGGAGATGAGAGGAAGGAGAGGAACAAAAGCAAGCAAAACCTACACACAGAAAATAAAGGAACGTCCCACAAAATCATGGCATCTACAGGGAAATGGACGGAGTTGGAGAAAAAACCCAAATGCCGAATGTTTTCTCTGATATGAGGAGGCTGATTCATAGTGAGCTTGGGAGGGGGATGTGGGAGGAACAGACGAACTCTAGATAGGGCAGAGGGGTGGGAGGGGAAGGGGGCGCCTGGGGGTAGGAAAGATGGTGGAATGAGATGGACATCATTACTTTAAGTACTATATGAAGGCACACATGGTGTGAACATACTTTGCATACAACCAGGGTTATGAAAAATTGTGCTCTATATGTGTAATATGAACTGTAATGCATTCTGCTGTCATATATAACAAATTAGAATAAAAAATTTAAAAATTAAAAAAAAAAAAAGAAAAGAAAGGGACAGTCCAATTGCACGTATAGCAGCAGTTTGAGAGCCCTGTTCTGGGAGGCCACGGAATCTTGACAGGACACTGCACTTCACCAGTTCCGACTCAAAGCCAAAAGAAGGAGACTATATATTATCTTAGCATCTAATGTACAGATCAGCAAAATTTAAAAACAAGGGCTAGAGATGGGGAAAGAAGATGAGATAAGGGCCCAATTTTTCAGTAAATAAAGGTGTATTTACATTTAATTAGAAGTAAATAAAAAACAAAAACCAAATATCAACTTTCTGATCAACCCAAAGTGTGCCTTATTGCCAATGACCAAATTCACAAAAAACACATAACATAATGTAAGTTGACTAACTCAACACCTCCCAGAGAATAAGGATGTGGATTTTAGGGAAACGTAATTTTTCACAAGTGTGTGTGCATATGGGAGATGGTACACAGACTAGGTGGATAAAAATGGATTGAGAAACCTGTAATTTTTTCAACAAAATCTGTTAGGATTTTTAAACAAATCCCACTAAAATAGCACCATAAATTTTTTCATAAACACCTATCAAAGACTTAGTTTTGACTGTCCTTAGGCTTAGCTGTGGGAACAAAGAGAGGAGAAATAGGACATCTGGATTCAAGCCATGGACTATCCCCCCAAAAAGGCTGAGACAAGGCTTCCAAGGGTTCCCTGCTCCTCTATAACTCAGAAAAGGGCGCTCCATCCCACGAGAGCAGGCTGGCTGTCAACCCTGTGTTGCTGCACAGGAAGCAGTGAGTGCCAGTGTGTGCTGGCCCCGAGTAGGACACTGCTCAGAGCTAACTGATATCATCTCTAAAAAGACAAAAAAGAGGGAGAAATAATCCAGGATTCTGAACTGCAACTATTGTTAAACTTTGCTGACCTGACGGCCCATCATACAGAAATCAACTTGCCTATGGCCTGAGTGAAGCAAGGGTTTCTGTCCCACAAATTTTTTTTTTAAAATATTTATTTATTTATTTATTTTTCGGTGGACACAACATCTTTGTTTGTATGTGGTGCTGAGGATCGAACCCGGGCCGCATGTATGCCAGGCGAGCGCGCTACCGCTTGAGCCACATCCCCAGCCCCCCACAAAATTTTTATGTGTAGAAATAGTGGCAAAAATTCTGTTAATCTCAGGGATACAATCTTTTTATCTTTATTTTCTCAGTCCCAACCCTCAAGAAGAGCAGCTGTGACCTTTTTTTTAAGTAAGAAGAAAAATAGATTCAACTTTGTGAAAATGTGTTATGCAGTTTTAAGGCTAGCAGCCCAGCTGAACAATCTCGGTAATCAGAGCTAACCATAACTTGAAACTTCATACACACCTTGTGAACACTATTGGATAAAGAATCAGGGACTTGCTGCAAAAACCAATCGCACTGCTCTGGATGGTAATTACAAATGGATAAGTCTCCAGGTCTCAGCTTGAATAACAACAATAACTGATGGAAACGACAATAATCAACAGGCATTAAGTGCTCACCAGGTCCTACATGTAGCATGTACCTGTCTTACATGTAGCAGCACATTCCTTACAGTGGCCTTATGAGATGTAATTATTATCTTGACAGATGCAGAAACTGAGGCTCAGGGAAGCTTAGAAGCTTGCCAAGTTTACTCAGCAAGTGGCTTGACGATAAGGAGGAGGGTTTAGCTGTTATGAAAGCCCATTCATCTAGCTCAAAAGTTCACTGCAATTCCATCTGGGAGGAAGGTGAACAAATGCCAAAATTGTCCATCAGACTTTTTAAGAGGCTCTTCCCTTTAGAACAACTCTAAGGTTAAGAAATGTTCTCTTTGTCATGTTTTATATGCTTGATCATATATGCACCTTCACTTCAAGAGTACATCAATCACTAAGGGCAGGTACAGTGGCGCAGGCCTGTATTCCCAGTGACGCAGGGAGATGAGGCAGGAGGATTGCAAGCTTGAGACCAGCCTTCACAACTTAGCTACACACTGTCTCAAAAAATAAAAAGGACTAGGGATGTAATAAAAAGGACTAGCTCAGTGGTAGAGCACCACCGGATTCAATCCCCAGTTCCACAAAGAACCAAACAAACAAAGTATCACTAAGAAAGGTGAAGCTTTTGCTGCCTAATTTCTTCCCTGTACTAAATATCAGTGAAAAGTTCAATCAACCAACACAGAACTCGGATGAAGCACAGCTAAGATGGGCACTGCTGATACAAGTTTAAAAAACAAGCTCTCTGCTTTCAACAACATTTTCAAGAAAGATGACAGTTTTCGATTACAAAAGGAATTGGCAGGGAGAAATGAATAGGAACACTGGTATTCCCCTCCATGCCCACACCTGCAGCTACTGGGGAGCATGGACAGCAACTGTGCCGGTACGTGATCAATGACCAACTCTTACCCTCCAAAACACACAGCACTGGACTTGGCGACCAATTCCTCTCCTCTGTGTGCATGACCTAACAACCTAATGCCTGACCATCCAGGACCACTGGCCCAATGTGAGCTTTTCTCTTAAGGTATGTGCTCTACACTACATCAAAACCCAGTCACTGAAAACAAAGGCTCAGAAATTTCCACCTGGCAAGATAAATGTACATAAAAACATCTTCAGATTGTCAAATACACATGTCAGGTATAAATATTCTTTATACCTCAGAAAAGTCTGTATTTGATTAGTTATTAATTCAGAATAAAGGAGTGAGCTCTTTTTGGAGAAATACAACACTTGATATATGATTTTCCAACATTTAGATGACACCCCTCAAAGACCAATCTGAAAAAAAAAATCTGAACAGCAAAGATTGCCTTAGAAATTCTGAAGTAGGGAGTATTCAGAGTTAACACTCTTAACAATAAGTAGTCCACGTCTTATTGCAAACACTAGGAGGATAAGCAAATATTCTTGAAGGAAAGGTAACATTAAAATGTCTTAAAACTACGGCCATGCTCAAATTATGGATGAATCTTAGAAACTTAACCATTAGCCAAAAAGTAAGACAAAACAGACCACATATGGTGTGAGTGGAAGCAGCATTTTCTGATTTTCCCAGGGCCTTCTTAATTTGTGCTTGTAGTTCTACTGTAATTACTGACAACATGACATTAAATAAATAGTATACATTTCTACAAAGAAATTTATCAAATAAAACTAACTCCATATACTCTGAATGCTTGTAATAAAATTCTACAAAAACAAAACAAAAAGTGATAAAAAAAATCTAGAAGTGGAGGAAAGGAACAGAGTTTGAGACAGGGAAGGGACATACAGGTAAGATGTAACAGCACCAGTGACACCAATACTCAAACTGGATGGTGGACTCATGAATATTCATGATGGTCATGATTCACAATTAGCAAGTTATCTATGTTACATATATACACTATAATAAATATACAGGTATTCCATAATAAACATTTTATAAAAATACAAAATCAAATATAAATGAGACTTTATTAGCAATTCAATACCCATTCTGATACGTAGTTCCATCAAAGTGCTTTCTGACATATCCGTACTATGTTAGCAAAAGTTGCACACAAAAAAACTTACACGTAATTTAATAAGAAACGAAAGCTAGTTGCTTGGTGGGTTTAAATGTATGACATTTGATATAAGAAAGCTGGATCAGAGATGAAGCTATTGAAAAATAAATATTCATAAATAAATAATTCCAAGAACATCACTGAGTGTGTTCTGGCACTGATCAGTGTGTGAATATGAGCAGACATGGGGAATTACAAACCCTAAAAACATTTGAGAAATAACCGTTGAGGTATACTTTGAAGAGGACAATGGAAAAACCAAGGCCAATGCTCATGAATAACCCACAGTGCACTTACCAGTAGAGGATCTTATTTAACAAAGCACTACAGAGTAAATGCTCAGAGATCAGCTTTGTGTTTCTGGCCAACTGAAAATATCAAAGTATCTGGTATTTTCTAAACGGGTGGTAGGTGGTAGACTCATTTGCTGAGACTCTTTAGGAACTGGGACTCTGGTGTTCTTCTTTGAGAATGCAGCTACATTCCTAACGCATGGTCCCATCACTGGGGGATAATAAAACAAGTCATGGAGTGTGAGTGCCACCACAGAATGTTAGAGCTGTTGTTTGACAGAGAAAAACAGTGACAATTAAGAAGGTGATACCTGGAATACTTGCAGGAGAAATTGGGCCAGATCGCGACTGGTTGCTTCCTACAGGAGAGCCAACAGGAGAAGGTGAGGGTCCCCCAGGGATGCTGGGGAGATGGGGAGAGGCATGTGGAGAGAAAGGTGACTGAGCTGGGTTGCTCTGGTCCCCCTGGCTGCTTGTGGACCCCGACGCGCTGACCGCGGAGCTCAGGGTTGCTTCCGTTCCTGTGGGGAGGTCATCAATGGAGCCAGACAGGTCCTAAGAAAGAAAGAAAAGCATGTATTTATAGGGTAACACACTGGACCAATATCCAACTAACACACTACATGAAAATCATAACAATGTCCCCTTCAGAGCAAAAATTTTTTTTTTCTAAATTAACGCCCAATTCAGAGTATGGCCACTTTTTATTAGAAGATATTAACGAGTTCCCTCCTGGGACGAACCCATGAGAGTGAGCATCTCCTAAAAAATGAGGCAAGCTGTATCTCTCTTCATAAAACCATCCTCTTTGTTTTCTTTTCTGTTGCCATGCCAAGTCCATCAGGCCCAAGCAAGGTGCCGTGCAGATACCATGGATGGGGTGACTTACCGTAGGAATGGAGTACCTGGCTCTAACATGAGGGCTTCCATAAGCTGAGCAACCACAGGATTTGGGTCCCTTTGTTTAGAATCAACATTATAGACTAAATTTCAAACTAGGACATTGTAATGTAGTAATAGTCTTTTTTTTTTGGGGGGGGGGATACCAGGAATTGAACCCAGTGGCACTTAACCACTGAGTCGCATTCCCAGTCCTTTTAAAAAACATTTTATTCGACACAGGGCCTTGCTAAGTTGCTGAGGCTGGGTTTGAACTCATGATCCCCCTACCTCAGCCTTGCAAGTCGCTGGGATTACAGGCATACACCACCATGCCCAGCAACAGTCAAAAATTTAACCAAACTTTGCAGTGAAGAACTATTACATTTTAAATAACTACAAAGTACTGTTATAATAACATAGTGATATTTGTATTTTTATGTGCCATTGCGAAAATAAATTCCTTTGAAGTTACGTTGGCAGAAATGAGTCCTAATGTTACAGCTTATGCCTTTATATAACAATTTGATGCTGGCAATGCTATCTAATTTGACCATAACACCCTCTGAGGAAGTTATTAAAAATCTCCATTTGACAGCTTCAGAAAACTGAAGTTCAGAGATTCAAAGTTACTGTTGAAGGTCACATTACTGAGGACAGATGCAGGAGCTAAAGAAAATAAAGGGAAGAGGAGAAACAAAAAAGCAGCAACAGACCATACATGGTGGCTCCTTTACTGCTGTGCCCCATAGCCTACACTGGGGGCCACCAAAAGATGCTCAGTACCTAGGCAAAGGCTTGCAGGAATCACTGGACTCTCAGATCTCCAATGCTGCAAGCCCAGGCAAAGCTGGGGACTAGATGTTCAGTGAATTCTAAATGCTGAATTGCAGTATAAAACATATCTGTCCTGGTAATCCAGACTAAATACTGCAGGACAAAATCAGAAATACCTGGTTATTACTGCCTCAAGGTATATTCAGTCCTAACACATAAGCTCTAATCACTCAATTTCATTAATGTTTAACTTTGCTTGCTATGGGGACCTTTGAAACTAGGGCTTTGAAAACTGGGGGTGGAGGATGCTTTGGGTTCTAAGAATAAATCTAGCTCAGAAAATATAAAAGGGCAAGGTAAAGAGAGCTGGTCATAGCTCTTCAGCAATGACAAAATGTCACAAAGCAAACTCAAGATTAGGATCCCTGGATAGTTCATCTGCTGATCATCTGGTATAACATGTAATTAACTTCTCTTTCCTCTTTTTTTCTAAACAGAGAAACTGAATTTCTTTTCTTTCTTTCTTTCTTCTTTTTTTATTTTTAAACACTCTAGTTATAGCTGATGAGAACCTCACAAAGAGATGAATGTTGCAGGGAAAATGTGCTAAGAATAACTTCTCAGTTATAAATAAAAGAGTTATCTTTAATGTAAAATAATTGTGTTTATGAAAAACAACAAAATGGCAACAGGGTATACCGAAAATGTTACCACTGGAAAAAGGAATATCAAAATCCCCAAAATAAAATGAGGTAGGCTGAATCCGATTTTAGAATTCAGAGATAAAATAAACCTTTCTGCACAGGGCACAGGAGATCATGATTGTGCACACATTCAGCTGGTAAGCTTTGTATTTAACTTGATTACTGGATTCAACAATAGTTCCATTTAGAGCTTCTGAATTGAATATAACCCGGAGAAGACAGGTAGAAACAGGCAGGCTACTCAGCCAGGTACATGTTATGTACAAAGCAGTCACACTTCAGTAATGAAGGCAGTTATCGGAATTCCTCAAAACAAAAACTTAGGTTAATAGATGTGTACATGTTCACAGACACTGGTGTGTTCAAAAGGAAAATGGGAGCTGACTGTGCCTGTTCCTCCGGCACCAGCCTGCATGCTGACTTCTCCCTGGGCCCAACCCTGGAGCCTGGGATGGGCGTGAAGCAGGGAAGAGTAGAGGGCCTTGGAGGATCCTTTCAGGGTCTGTGTTCCCCTTTCTAATGGATGGAACCATCTCATGAATGTGCAAAGGGACATAACTGCAGTGGCTCTTGAAAGCAGGGTACGGCAAGCTGTGGCCTGCAGGCTGAACATGGGCCCCTTTTTTGCTCTGCCCACAAGCTATAAATTTTTTAATGACTGGAAAAAAACTAGTAAGAGAAAAATATATGAAGTTCAAATTACAGTGTCCACAGCACATCCCTGAACTGGCCAGTCCATACCTTTCAGAGCTGCCTTTGGCTCCGGAGGCCAAAGGTGGCAGAGCAGCTATGACAGAGAACTTATGGCTGCACAGCCGAGAAGGTTTACATCTGGCTCTGGCCAAAAGAACCAGCAACACTAGTATCACCTTACTGCCTTCACCTCTTCCGTGGGAGAAAAATGTGAACTGAGAGGGGACCACAGCACACATTCTCCCAAGAGTAGGGGCTTCCTCCTCCTTAATACCTCTGAAAAAAAAAGTGACAGCCAGATTATGAGTATTCTTTTAAAAATATCCTCCTAACCCTGGGAACCTATGGTGAGGCTGGGGGTGGCCTCCAGGAGCCAGGTGCTTCCTGACCTAACACTAGAGGGACAGGGGCAACCAGAGCACTGCTGGGAAGAAGCTGGTTCCCACGCTGCTTCCCAGAACACACAGTGAGGAGATGACAAGGTAAACAACCACCTTCTATTATGCTGCATATGGGACTAACAGAGAAGACAATGCAGATTCAGTTTTTTAAAAACCATCAATTGTCTTTAAATAAATCTTTCTTCATAAAAAACCAAAATGTCACTTTGAAAAAAGAAAAAATCTTTGTAATTCTCTGCACAATCCATAATCCCCTTCCCTGTCCTCCCTTAAAACTCCACATTATGGTTGAAAAAGTGACATGGATGGGTGTTAAGAGAGCTTCATTCAAGTTGCAAAGGCATCAAAAACATTTCTGTTATTCAACAAGCTGATCAAGGCAAGTATCAAGAGGAAAATATAAAGACGGTGGCTGTCTTCCTGCTCACGTGTCATCAGATTTCAGTGCCGACTAGACCTTGGTGCAACCGAAGAGTAATAAAAGATACAGTTTTTATATTACTGTTATACACACACGTAACTTTTATATGTAAATTATATGGAAATATTCCCGCCCTGCAGATACTTAGGGCATCCATATGTAGAACAATCTTAAAACATGCTAATAAAAGAAGTTCAACGGTGGTTTAAGCATCCAGCCTAGTTAACAAAGAAGCTCTGTAACTAATACTCCCCTGGAGGACAATTTAGTCAGCAGGGCACTGACTCCCTTCTTCTTTTATAAGTGCTGTCAGATCAGCGATGCCTGTATAGAACAGAGAGGCCTGGCTGCATCTCTTTCTAGCAGAGGCACCTTCAAGCTACACTGCTTCCACTTATCTTGCTGGAGAGCTGGCAGGTAAGGGAACTAACTGCAGGGAAGATCTTTAGGGGCAGGAGTTGCCCTGCCCCACTGCATTCCTTAAACTCTTGGCTTTCCTGATGGAGTGATGAGTAGGGCAATGATTTCATGGGTTCATGCAGAGCAGAATCCTATTGTGCCATCATAATTTGCTTTGGTGAAACCAAGTTGGGTTTTCAATATCTGATGTCAATCAAAATACTGAATACTTTCCAAAACCAAAAGACTGTGACTCCTGCTATCAATGGATAATTTATTTTTTTTTAAATCACTGTCTAAAAAACCTCCAAATTAACAAAATTTATTTTACTTTTGAACAATTTAAATGAATGTTTTCTGCAGCTTTTCCTCTGCAACCATCCCTTTACCCCTTCACCCTCTTTATCCATGTACAATCTTCATTCTAATCCAAGTGACAAGTAAAGGAATTTAACTGTGCATAGAATGACATGCCACCAGAGAGTAGTAACAATCTCAGACTTGACAAGAGAAAAGTTAACATACAGCACAACAATGCTCCTGACTCAACACAGTAGGACAGGGCCAGGGATGCCAGTGACGGAAGGAATATATATATGAATATGAATATATATATATATATATATATATATATATATATATATATATAAAAATAAAATGAATAGTCTACAAACAAGGTGCAGAGCAAGAATTTTTAAGATCTACATGTAAATAAAACAGACGCATAACATTAAGTATAAATACTCTTGCATGTCTATATTTTACAAATGAACGTCCCCACAAATATTTTAAAACACTGCATTGTGACTCGCTACATCAAAAGACGTCTTTGGCTTTGATGGTATTCAATTTAGCATTAAGTTAGCCTACTGAAAAATAAATTCAGTCAATACTGGTGACGTTTAACTATCTTAAAGAACTGGGAATAAGTTAGAAATTTTACTCCCTTGCTTAATTAAATAAGTGGGTTTTTAAAAAAGAAAATGAACTTCAAAATACTCTAAGCTCTGGTTTTCAGTACAATTAGATGATGGTGTTAGGTGAGCATGGATAGTGAGCTGCCCCCAGCTGCACACATGTGGGCATCTCTTGCTCAGAAGTGCCCCAGAGAGCATGGAGATAAACACTGAGTTAGAAACAGAAAAGAGATTTTAATCAATGCAACTAGCCCAGGTCTCTTGATTCTTCAGGTTTTAATAGGATACAGTTAATGATTTCTCACTGTGACTTCCCACGAGTTTAAAGCTTAGGTTAAAATGCCAGTTCACCGGTCTTCAAAAA